TAATGAGTTGTGAGTGTGAGTATGCATGTGTGTGTGTGTGTGTGTGTGTGTGTGATCTCATGCATTACTGGAGTAGAGTTATTAAAAATATGTGAAGGAGAGACCATCAGACAGAATTGTAATGCACAGAAGTCCAGAAAGCATCCTCTCTCAGCCCATCCTCCATGCTCAAAGAGGGGTTAAGTAGGATTGGATGTGGCTGGGGAGTGCTCAGTAGCCTTAGCCCTGCTTGTGGCCGCCACCCCACCTTGGCTGAGTAGGCTTGAAGGCAGAAGGGACAAGGAAAGTGGAGACCAAACACAAAGATGGCATGACTACTCAGAAGCTTGGCCAGAAGGGGGAGATGCAGGTCTGAGGGGTGGTGGCCTTTTAAGTCTGTCTCTCTGTAATGTACTAGGAAGTACCCCACTTGAAGCTCAAAAAGGAAGCACCACAGCAGGGCTGGCACCCTTAATTTTGAGCTAGTTGTGAAATAGTTCTGTTCAGAGAAGTCAGTATCAACACACTTAATGGCCACATCCCTGCTGAGCTGCAGTATGGGCCCCCATGGAACTAAGTGGAGGCTTGTGGCACAGCCATGGGCCTCATCTGCCCATTTTCTTGGCCCACTGTCTCCATGTTTAAAGTTGGGTTCCTGGGAGAAGTTCAAAAACACAAAACAGAAAAGGAAATGGAGCAGGCTGGGTTCCCCCACAATGGCCTTGAGTCCAGGCTGTGTGTCGGCAGGAGGCTGGGTAAAGTGATTTGGGTTGTGTGAGTTTCCCAGCAGCCAGTGGAAACTTCCAGGAATGCTACTCAGGCCAGTTGAAGGCTCTTTCCACTACCACTTTTACAAGATGTAGACCTTTCCCCAGCCAGCCACATGCCCAGCCATCACTGGGGATATGGGAGTCTCTTTCAGCTCAGCTCTGCCTCTCAGGTGCAGTTTGTGTGCCAGGGCAATCATTTTCCAGGCTCTGTCCTGTGACCCTGGTTCAGAGCCTGCCATCCCTGGTTATCTTGTGAAAAGAGGCCACCGCCAGGCAGTGTACCCTCCCTGGCAGCTGACATCTATGCAGGATGCTGCACAAATTTATAGCAGCCTTCAAAGAGAAAACCCTCCCAAAATGTTTCAGTGTTGTATTAAGTATATGCAAGGAAAGTTTCCTTTCCCCTGGACCAAGGCCCAGACCCTGCATAGAGCTCTGGGAAGGGGACAAAACCTCTTGGGTTCACCTTCCTCCAGTGAAGTTAATGTGTCCCTTCTAGTGCCTGCAAACTGCACAATGGACAGATCAAGCCTGCCATATTCGTGGTGGCTTGTGCACATGGCTTCCTCCACAGTGGGAGTAACCCATGACTGGCGTGGCCTGGTATGCAGTAGGCACTCAGCAGCCCTCAATGAAGGCAGGAAAGTGAAAAGCAGAGCCATCAGGCCAGCCTGGGCCAACCTGAGCAATTGTCAGGGTGGATGTGGCACCCCTGTGGTGAGCTAGCCCTCTAGCAGAGATGAACAGTGCTGCTCTTTGCTGACACTGCCCAAAGCCTACCTGGAAGCTATGCCTGTAAGGCTGGCCCTGGCCTGGGGAGCAGGGCCTCAGACTCAGGAAGATGGCATGATGATAAGCATGGGGAGAGTGGCTAATGTGTGTCTAGCTCCCCAGGTGCTGGCAGCACACTGAATTACCTATGCTATAAGCTCCATGTTGTCCTTCCCACTTAGGAGGAGAAAATGGCCAAGAGACATCAAGTCACTTGCCCGTGGCTGGCCTGGGCCTGACCCCAGATGGCACACTCCTACAGTAATCCTATGGGACTCACACAGGCAGAGACCCTCCTGGACTCTCAGAGGTCCCTGGGGTACAGAGAAGAAGGGCCGAAGATGGACTGCCTTTATTTGTTACTGTTTCCTTGCCTCTGGAATGGGGATGGCTGATGGTCTCCAGTTGTTTATGGACAGAGCCTGGCCCACAGGAAGCAGGTTGTTCTCCAGCCTAATCCCAGGGTACCAGGGCTCGGGATGCCTGACCCATGGTTGTCTAAGGTGTCAAGAGCTCTGAGACCTGCCGTCTGCTTTCCCTCAGTGTGTCCTCTTCCTACCCACAAATATTAGGGATCAACCACCCAGAACCAGCAGTGGGCATGAAGATGAGGGCTTCACCAGCAGCCACCAGAGAGAGCCAGGCAGAGCCCCTTATCAGGAAAAGCCAGCACCTGGCATCTGGATGCCAAGCTGCACCAGCTGAGAGAGGACTGGCCAAGGGGATCCTGAAGGGAGCTGGGTGGTCCCTTTGTTCTGAGCCTGACCACCATTTATTTTACAGACAGTGTCCATCCTGGAACAACGGTTGACACTGACAGAAGACAAGCTGAAGCAGTGTCTGGAGAACCAGCAGCTAATCATGCAGAGAGCAACACCATGATCAGGGGAGCAAGAATCAGGAGCTTGGTTGATTGGGGGGTGGGGGGCAGGCCAGGGATTTGTACTATGGGACTTGGGGAAATAAAGGAATTCAGCTCTGTGGGAATCACATCTGTAGTGAGCCCTGACAAATAAGTAGTTGTGCCCTCCACCTTGCAATTTGCACCAGCATCCTCTCCACTTGGAGCAGAGGGCTCCAGGCCAGGACCTGCACAGAAAGGATGTTTGAAACCCAACTGGCAGGACCACATTTAGTTTGATGTAAAAGATCCACTTGAGGGGCCTGGGATTTAGCTCAGTGGTTTCGCTGGCTCCTGTACAAGCACAAGGACCTGAGTTCGATCCCCATTACCAATAAATAAATAAATAAATAAAAGATCCACTTGAAGTGTTTGGTGCCTTGAAGACCTAAGGCTGCAGACCTCTCTCTGGATACCCTTGCCTTTCACTCACCTTATATGTTAGTTACTTTTCTCTCATTGCTGAGACAAAATACCCAACACCCAAAGTTAAAAGGGAATAGGTTTATTTGGCTTACAGTTCATAGAGGTTTCAGTCCATAATCAGCTGGCTCCGAGGCTGGGATGGCAAACATCACAGAGGAGAGGCAACATGGCGCACACAAGGCCCAAAGGTAACAAGAGGGAGGCAGTTCATGGCGCCCACACCATAGCAAAGGCAACAAGGGAGAGACAATTCACCAAGTCTTCCTGCCTCTTTTATCCCATCCAGACTACTGGGATTAGGGTGGTGCTAAACTACTCATTCACGTGTAGATGTTTAGTGATCACATGCCCTTAAATCCTAGCATTCCAAATTCACCTGCCTCTGACTGAGTGAGGATCTGGGGGGACATCCAGACCCAAACTGTAACACCTTACCTTTCAACCATGTGACTGGCTTTTCTCCTGGTGTAGCTTGGAATTTGACTGCTCTTGTGGTTGGATAGACTGGGAGTTTTCTCTACATCTGACAAAGGCTTATCTGAGTCAGGTTTGTCCAGGAATAAACAAGTTCTGTGGAGTGGGCAGTGGCCTTGATTTCTGTTCCACATATGTTCACTGGGGCTTGGTGGCTTCCTTCTTTCTGCATGTGTGAGAGCAAAGGAGTCTGAAAATTCAAACTGACTTTATAGATCTTTGTTTTGGGGGGGTTTTTTGGTACCGAGGATCGAACTCAAGTCCTCGCACTTGCGCAGCAGGCAGCGAAACCATTGAGCTAAATCCCCGGCCCTGACTTTATAGATCTTATTGCAGGAATGGTTTGTTCTGGATGAGACCTAATCAGTCCTCCCCCATCCCAGAGCCACAAACGGAAAATGAAAATGTTAACTTGGGAGGCCTCTGCACTCAGGCCCAGGACATCCTTGCTTATAGCTGTTGAGGGTGTTGAGGGAGCAGGGCAGCCAGAGCCTTCCACACACCCTCCTCTCTCAGGCTGCCCATACTTCTGTTGAGAGCCAAAGGGCTCAGGGGCCCGTGTTTCCATTTGCTCATGAGGGTTTCTGTGTCTCCTTCCTCCACATCTGCCAGAGTGAGTGTTTTCCATATGTCAGTGTGTCGTTCATGCCTTCAGCCTCCCGTGTCTTGGGGCTTTGTCAGCACGGAGGTCCTTATCCTCCACCACACCTGCCCAGGCCTGGAGGGAGGGGGGCAATGGTAGATCTTTTGGTAGTTGTTGGTACCATGTGGTTAGGGGACCCCAGGCTCTGCAGCTTCCAGGGGGAGCAGCACCTGAAAGCCTTGGGGCTTTGGATGACAAGGGACAGCCTGTGTTGCATTCTGATGAATGACTAGGATGGGGAATCTGCCGTGTCTACCTGTATTGGGCAAGGAGAGCCAAATTCTGGGGTCAGGCTTTGGGCTTTGCCAGTTTCTAGCTGTGTGACCTGACATTGTGGTCTAACCTCTCAGAGGTTAGATGATAATGATGATGATTTCCTACTGCTGGGGAGCGAACCCAGGCTTTGTACATAGTGGCAAGTGTTCTACCCCTGAGCTATATCTACAGCCCCCAAGCCTCAGGTTCCTACCTGTGAAATGGTAGTGACACCTACTCCTCAAAAGGGTTGCAAGGTGTGTGCTACACCCTAGGCAGTGCAGACCACGTGCTCAAAGGAACCCCATCACTCTGACCGTACCAGTCCCCTAGGACAATGGGGCTGCTGTGAGTGGGAGAGACCTGTTGGTGCATGGAAGAGCCTGGCAGGACCAGTGAACTGCACTGAACTATCAGGTAAGACTCTCAGCTGCTTTGGGAGGTAGTGAGCTCCCCATCCCTACAAACCAAGGAGAGCCAGGGCAACCAGGGTTCAGCCTGCTCAGCTGTGGGACCAGCCTTATCATCCCACCTATGCCAGATCTCCCTATGATCTGTCCTAGGCTGCCTGTTCTGATTTCTGGACCTGAAATTGGAGCTGCTGGGCATTGGGACTCATGATTTGAACAGCCAACCCCAAGAAAGTTCATCTCCAGAGACAGTAGTCCATGACTGAGGACAGCAGAACTAAGCAGGGTCTCAAAGGCTAGCATGGCAGTTCTTGCTTATGGGCCAGACCAGGGTTGCCACTGTCTCTGTCTCTAGTTTATGCCATGATCAAGTTTAGAAAAAATGGATTTTAGAGAGATTGTCTGCACATAATGTAGTACTCCCCTGGTGGGTTACTGCCAGTGGAAGTTCCACCACTTGTCAGATGTACACTGGAGGAGCACTCCCCAAACACCCTTTTTCTTATAGGATGATAACAGCATAGCCTGGGGCATCAGTTCTACCATGGGCTCTGGTCAGGGGAGGCAGGCCAGAGTTGTGGCCAAGCTTGGTTAGGCCCACGTGCACTGAACTACGTGGGCTGCTGAGAAGGGCTCACTGGTGGACAGGGACCCTCCTGAGGCATTTCCAAATGCTTGCGCTTGAATACCGCCTTGGTGGAACCATGACTGGACCTGGAATTTGCAGGGCCCATGGTTTGTGGTAGGCAAGGACTGTACCATTAAGCTACGTCTTTTAGCCTACAAGTACAGTTTTTTGGAATGCTGTGCTTGTAAATAGAGACCTGCCTCTGCCTCCTCCATACCCACAGCACAGCTATGGAGGGGCTGAGCTCCTAATTTGGGGCCAAGGTTTTCCCAAAACTCAGCCCAAGTCTGAATCTTACTGTTCTGAGAATCTGGGGTCCAAAGTCACACCTGGGGGAGGGGGTAGGGGGTCTTAAGGAGCTCTGACTCTGGTGGGCCCTGTCTAGCCACTTCATTCCCCCACCCTGTGAAGACACAGCAGGACTCTGAACTGACAAACATCTGGGATGGTGGGGAGATAGGACTGGGTGTGGGGGCAAGTGTGGGGCCTAGGTGGGCTCAAGGTGGCTGGGCAAGGGTGTGGGCCATGTGACAAAGGCCTTCCTTGTGGTATCTCCCAGATGACACTCCCTGTAGCCCTATACCAAGGCTTTCCTGGGGCTGGGCTATTAACAGTTCACACTCTTGCTGCCAAGCACAAAAGCAGCCTGCACAAAATGCAGATGTCTTAGCTCAGGCTTCATCTCTCCTAATTTTGGATTTTGGTAACTGAGCGCCCAGAAAACTGACTTGCAGTTCTGTGTATAGAGCTGTCTCTGTCTCCTGTTAGCAAGATGGGGTGAGGACCTTAGCAGCAGTTCCCAAGGTCCCTGCCCCGCCCCACTTCATGTCCTCATCTTTCCAGTGAAAGAAAACAATAGGAGTCAGGTTTAAAGTACCACTCCCTTTGATCTTTTATCAGATTCTTTGGGATCCAAGAACGAACCCATATTTCCTGCTGGAGAAGCTGAGGCAGGCAGGCCAGATGTGCTTGGACCACCGAACCAGGCAGCCCACCAGGAAGAGGCTTTGGAACCCACCCCACCCACGGCAAGCCCCTCCTTTCTGCATCATCATATCTCAGGACTACTGACAGGCTGAGTCTAGGGGTCCCCATAGCCTGTGAACGCTTGCCAGAGTCTGCAGCACTAGCCAGCCTGCCTGGCTACCATGCTCCTACCCAGCAGTCCTGGGCCTTCTGTCCTGTGAGCTGCTTGCCATGTCCAGAGCATTAAGTCAACTGGACCCATCACCCACATTATAGTTACCCCCACCCACCCCAGGCCCAAACCTCAGAGAGGCCCCTGTTTATAAGATAGAACCTGTCAAGGGCTGGGGATTTAGCTCAGTGATTCCACAGCCTGCCTTGCAAGTGCAAGGTCCCAAGTTCTATCCCCAGTATCAAAAAAAAAAAAAATAGACTCTGTTTCACTGGGCACTCGAGTGAGTATTGTCTGTGACTGTCCGTGTCACCCCACAACCAGGCCCTTTCCCTGGACTTGGCTTCACATGTCAGTGGGCACAAGGGGCTCATGTCCCAGGGTCCTTCTGGCTCAAATTCTCAGTGGCCAGTATGGTTGTCTCCAATCTCTCCCCCCGCCCCGCCATGGGACACTTTACAAATTTGTGTATCATCCTTTTGAAGGGGCCGTGCTGATCTCTGAATCGTTCCAGTTTTGGTATGTGTGCTGCCAAAGGGACCCCACTGTCCTACTCTCACCCCACTCCCCACTGTGGGCACCCCCAGTGGTGAGGAGGAAGTGGGCCCTTCACACGGAGGAGATTAGTATGCCAAAGCCACCTCTTCTGCTTCACTAAGGCTGCCACTCCAGCCAGTGCAGGCTTGGGTTGGGTGTTTGACATTGCCTGGAATCCCGGAAACCCAGCCCGCTGAGCAAGCAAGAACGTGGTGAGTCACTCTGGTGTCCCAGCTCCCTGTCATTAACCTCATCTGCCTAAATGACTTGCTCAAGATGGGCCCTAATGACTCCCACCTTGACTGGTGTGCTGCTATTTACAGTGGACCAGGAGGTACCCAGGGGTTCTGTCCTTGCCAGGTCCCCCCACTCCACCCTGTCCCACCTGCACTAGCGTGCAGAGGAGAAAACCATGCTAAGGCAGCAGTGGTGGCCAGTGTTGACCCTGGCACCTAGGCACTACTCTTCCTGTGAGCCCACCCCAGCCAGTATATTCTGGCACTGTGGGCTCACTCCTTGGCCACTTTGGGGAGTATCTCTAGGAGCTTCATACTGCCTCCCTGCCCCATGAAGGCCCGGGCTGTGGGCTCTCATGACCATGCTCAGGATGAGCCTGGAGCCCGCCCAGAGTGCCTGTGGCAAAGCCATTAGGAAGCGCTCTGTGCCAGCCCCTCCTGACAGGACTGCCATGTGGAAACTCTCAAGAACCTATTAATAGAGCAGGGCCAGGGAGTGTTTTCACTTTAGGTGAGGCCACCTAGGGCCCACCTGCCTGGAGCATGGCCTGTGGCGGAAGCTCCCACCACTCTCTACTCTGCCCTACTGCATATGAGAACTCTGCATGCAGGAACAGGAACCTCCAGAGGGAAAGTGA